CAATTGAGCGCGTGCTGGCGAAAACAAAATAATGGTTAATTGTAAATTCTTTGGGAGAATAAAATAAATTGAGCTTACAGAAACAATATTGACATATTTACAAAAATTTACAATCCAAAAAATGGAAAAGAAATTAAAATAAAAAAATGAGTGAAAAGTAAAGAAAGTTGTAAAATTTAAAAGAATTTTGGTGAACTGAAATATTTCGTATGAATTTGTCAATTTGAAATAAATTTCATTTGCGCAAATAAAATATGTGTAAATAATAATAAGAAATAAAAACAACTTTGTGAGAGTGTCTTGCTGAGTTTCAGCAATATTTTTAACTAAAAATAAAGCTATAATAGTCGCATGCTTTACAGAGAGGAGTCAATTTGAAAATTCACTGATTTTAATATGAAAATCTGCAATTTGATATGTGTAGCGTCTTTGATAGTAAAAAAGCGCATTTGAGTACCTCGTTATCAAATTCAAAATTTTAATACTAATTTGAAATACTTTCGCCAACATTATCGTGTATTGAGTGTTGAATTTCTTAAAAGAAAAATAAATTTCTTAAAAAAAAAAATTTATCTCTGTTCATGACTGTAACTTTGATTCAGCTATTGCTGCAAAAATTGAACCATCTGTTTGTGTTAATATAAAATACATTCATGGATGCCCAATGCAAGCTGATGCCAAAACTTAAGATCAAACTCAATGTGATGGGTTGTTTGTCTGCGAAACCGAAACCGCCTGATAATACGAGAAGTATGTGAATGCGTTAAATTTTACTATAAATGTTACTTTATTAATATTTTTCAATATGTTTCTAAGGTGAAATTATTTCTTTCAAGAGAATAAAAATTTAGAATAATTTTTAAATGAATTCTACGTTCCATTAAGGACTCAGACAACTAATGAAGCACATAAATCCAATATTATTTTTAATGGCCCACTTGGAAATACTAGTGTTTCTATACTGGGCTTGTATTGGATGAGTCGAAATACGTGAGTTATTCGCAACTAAAGTCCTTAGAGTGTCGTCATCAAGCTCAGAAGGCCGTCCACTGCGAGGTTGATCTTCGAGGTTAAAATCTCCAGAACGAAATTTCGCGAACCATTTCTTTACTGTGCGGAGTGCTGGAGCACGGTCCAAATAAACTTCGCGAATATCTTTAGTTGCAGCGCCTACTGTTTTTCCTTTGCGGAATTCGTATAACATAATATTATATGACCCATATGATCTTTTTCGTCGTCCATCTTCCATGCGTCTTTTCATTAAGCAACTTAAATCAAAATGAAGTTATTTTATGCTTGATTTACAGTTCGGACTGTCACCTTTCCAACGATATATGAATGAAGTTACTATGTAAAATTTAAATATATTTTGAATATTCTAAACTTGATTCAGTTCGTGCTTTTTTAAAAACTCCATCCATAGATCAACTCATTGATAAGCGCATTCAACCCCTGTTCAATATGGTCTTTAAGAACTCCACTCATACGTCATGCTATAGTTCAGACAACATTTAACGGTTTCTTTTAATGTCATAGGGAATACACCAAGCGATTTAATAAGCACGAGATTCGAAATATATAGTCGAATTTTCCAAAAACTTTTGAGGCTTTCAGCCAAAATTTTAAATATTTTTATATATAAATATTTTCCAACAAATTGCAGTGGTTTAACCAATAGAAGGTTTGAAAATTGCTGAAGGCGAGTTTGAGAACTTTGCAAGCTTGGTTATTGGGAAAGGGCTATCAAGATTGGGTAAAGAAAAAATAAGTTAAATAAAATTTTCTTCTTCTTCTGCCACGATCGTGTTTACGCGATTATAGCTGCGTTAACAAAGATATGCCAGTTATATTTTTGCCGTTGAGCGCCAAATTTTAGAAATTCTGAGAGGTCGAGTTAGAGAAGTGCAGGTCTTCTCTGTGGGTTACTGCATCGTATACTTTCAAAACTGGTTTGCTTCCATCCATTCGGATGATATTAGCTAGACGCCTGAACTCTGAATGAAATTTTAAGTTATTGTTGTAGTTGTTGTTGCTGCGAGCCCAAAAATATGCTTCAAATTGGTTTTCGGTGAAAATTGTGGGAGGGACAGTCCATGGTCATATAAGAAATTGGATCGTTCCGGTATAAAGACTCGGTTGTCGTACGACGGTTTTTAATTCTTAATTCACAAAGATTACATTATATGCGGTATTCAGTGTCGCTAGTATGCTATGGTAGACTAGCTTTAACTGGCTGGACGTCACGCCAAATGTAGGCCTGCTGATCCTTTGTACTGTCGATGGGGTTTCAGTTTAGTTTTAGCTTATTTTGATACTTCATCGAGCCCTTATATATATATGTTAAGATATCTAATATATATATATCTCAAACCTTTTCTAAACAAGGCCGGAAAAAACCGAAGAACGATATTTAAAATTATAAGAAAATTTTGTAAGCAGAGCTACGAAAAGCGTGATCGGGCAGGATGAACGGAAGTTGAGAAGGAGGATATGCTTTGGTAAAGAAAGGAGTAGAGAAGGAGAGTTACCCTATGAATTATTGAGACCACGAGAAGGCGGTTATCTTACAGTCCCGCCGTTGTTGTTTTCAAAGAAGTAAGTCCAATCGGACCTCCAGACGAAAGAGCCAATAGCCTCTCTTCCATTATTTATGGTTTCTCGGAGTCCCAAATGTGACAATTTTGCTTTTTTAATATTCCTCGTCCCTGGAGAAAGTCGACGTTTATACGGCATTGTGGATGGTCAGCTGGCTTCGTATGCTCTGTTGGACTTTATATAGATGTAGATGTCAGTTCAAGTGCAGAATACGCCAGAATGTGCTTTAAGAAAGCTCCTTAGAATGTTGAGAAATAGCCAAATTCGAGTGTGGGCTACACTTTCACCTAGTGCAGCGGTATTTGTGGTGGAATGAGTAAAATTGTGATGCACATGCCTTACAATATTTATAACCAAAATTTCAAATTTCCTTAAAATTTTACAAATATTTTGTTGTAGTAATTTAACGATAATGAACACTTGTAACTTTTTTATAATGGAATTTTTTCAATAAAAGTAATAACTGAAAAAGAGAAACCTTCAGGCGATACCAGCATAAAGTTGCAACACTTGCAGCAACAAAAAAGAAAAGAAGACAAAACTGTATTGAAAGAAATGTCATTAATTTTACACAAAAATTCAATTACGCACACCGCCACACCCAACAATGGACGGATGGAAGAACGACTGATTGTAATATAATTGCAAAACTGCAAAAAAGGAATTTAACTATAATTAATTTTCTAACAAGCACTCCGGATAGTTAGCCATATTAGTGTTGGTGGCACACCCAATTGCAACAAAGAATGCAGTTACAATATTCAATACTAAATACATATTCAACTGAGAGCGGCCCACCCAAAATTGCATAGCGTTGCATACTTTCCGGCGTGTACTGCCACTGGGCGGCCAGTGTGATTACTATTCAAGTGCGCAAGTTTCAATTATCCTTGTCACGGTATAAGCAAAATGTACATGCATACAAACATATAGTGTATTGAATTGAAAGATGCAGCATGCGCGAGGAGTGTAGGACGAGACGCGTTAGGAAGTCGGTTGCAATGTTTCGTGGGCGGAACGAGAAATTTGCTAATCACGCTTAGTTAGCGCTTTTCATGCTTCTCAAGCACTGAACTTTCAACACTACATTGTTGTTGCCAGTTTATATGCAATAAATAAATATTGTTGTTGCTGTGCGCAAGTGTGTGACTGATTTATGTCGCACTGCCTGGGCGAAGTGAGTTGAAACAGTTGAGAACTCAAACTATTTGTGTGCGTGGGTTGGGCGAAAGTATCAGCGCATTTGCCATAAATATTTGAATGAAGTGGACGCTTGTTTCGTGAAACATTTTACCCTTGTATAATTTTTTTTTTAACTGCAGAACTTTGTTGTTTGTTTCTTTTTTACGATAGCTTTTGTTTACAAATATTTGGCTCACCTTTTACTTTGCAAAAGTTGCTGTCAATCTGCATTATTTACGCTGCTTTGAATTTCACCGTTGTTGCACTTGTCAACTGCATTAATTTTGCATTTGTTGTAGTGAAAGTTCAAAGTTTTTTGAAAGCTGAATTTATTGTTTTGTAATTTTCGTTGGCACGAAGTTTAAATTTTTAACATATAATTTTTCGCTTTTCTTTCGCCTAATGTAATTAAGTAAGTTAATCAGTCTTAAGAGCTTTGAATGAAAGCTTAATAGCATTTGTAACTCCTGGGGAAGTAAAACTTTAATTTTTGTGAGTTGAGTTTGCAACTTTTAATGTGTTTTTTTAGCTTCTTCTAATCCTTGATGATACCTTAAATCCGAATCGGAGCTTTAATTACTTTGCTTTATCAATAACTGCCGAAAGCTCTCAACTCCAAAAGTATTGCATTATTTGGAGAAGCACAAACTTTTTTTTTTAATGAAAGCTTAATGAGAGTAGAATTTTTGCAAGAGTAAATCTCTCATTATTCCTTTTAAGGAGCTCGGACTTTCATTATATCTAGCTTACAAATTGGAGCTTTCAATAAAGTTAAAGTTTTTATTATACTAATAAAGTTTTATATATTTATTTTCATTTAAACTGTTGTATGGAACTTTCATGCATATAGGTGAAAGCTCAGTGTTAGCTTTACTTATGGAAAATAATTTGATGTAACATATTTATAAATCCCAAATTTGAGCTCTCTCCACTTTTTCTGACAAATAACTGTCGAAAGCTTTCACTTTTACATTTTAGAGCTTTCACAAATTAATAGAAATAATTTTAATTTTATAGTTTGTATTTTAATAGAGATGTTTCAAGATGATTATACCTCAACATCTTCCGAGCAGATTCTGCAATACAGCTCAGGCTAGTAAAGCCAAGCTTGGAAGAATTTAAATAATTAAATTTTTTATAATATTTTACTAAGGCCTATTCAATACATAAAAACATTATTATTAACCTTTAACTTCGGCGTGTTTTTTTTCGTTTGATTCCAGCATTGCGCGCAGCTTTGCTCATACAAAGATGGTATCGAAGGTATAGAGCGCGTACGGAGATACGTCGTCGTTATACATGGAATATATTTACAAGTCTGGAATATGCTGGTGAAAATGATCAGGTGGAGGTAAGTACAAAGTGGTGGTTCCCAGAAAAAAACAAAAAAAAAAAACAAATAATAATAATAATAGGCAGTCTCGTTTTTTGAGGGACAACATTTAAAGATGAAATTTTCATAATAAAAAAAATCTACATTCCTTGAATGTAAAATTAAATAAATTTTCTTGATCACAGATTAAATATTAATAAAGCATTTTTTTACTGCCTCAGTGGATAGTGTTCATTCACCACCCACAGCTTACTAAATGGACATTTTCTGTCAAAAACAGATTATATTCGAACAGTCTCATTTTCTCTGGGACAAACCTTGAATATGTAAAATCAATTCTTGTTACCAGCATAATTAATTAAAGTATTATATATATTCTTTAGTTTTATATTAAACTACATAATTACTTTAAAATTTTACTGAGCAGTCTCGTTTCCCACGGAACATCGATAAAATGTAAAATCAAATAAATTCCTGTCAACAACACATTTCAGGCAATCGTAAGATGTTAAATTCTAAACCGAAAAAAATGACATTTTCCATAAAAATATCATAAAATACTTATTTAAAGAAATCTTTAACAACACAACCAACCATTCAAATTCACATAAAAAATATACAGCACTTTTATTGTTTCGAAAGTCAATAAATTAAATTTAGCCTGCATCGCCGCCGCAAAATACATATTTACATTTTCACATAAATAGACGAACGATAAAAAAAACTGAAATTGAAGAAAAACCGCAGAATTCGCCCCCAAAAGGCTTTCGTAATGTTTGCTGTCTTAGTCTGACTTTGTCTTTCCTTCTTAAATGAGGTAAATATATACAAGAACTCGTATGTATGGGTGTACATTTAAATGTAAGTACATATAAGTTTGGCTTATTTGTTGCTTTCTCTTGTTGCCCACTAACAACTTTTGTCTACTGCGACTATTTTGCGGTTTCTTTAAATTGTTCGTGTTTAGTAAGTCCAGTTGTTCTTATTTGTTGAGAGGGAAAAATTTATTTATGTTTTGTATTGCATTTAAGATTTTTTTTACGTACTTGAGAAATTGAAAAAAAAAAATATTATTTGTATTTCAGTCTACATTGGAGAGTTGTCCCATAGAAGAAGATACTGCAGGAGAAAAAATATTTTTTTTCTTATTTTATCTTTTATTGACATCAATTTACTATATTTTGTATTTAATGTATATCCTTTCAAAAATGAGACGCGGGCCAATTTTTTTTTAGTTTTTGTTAATTTTTTAATCAAATCTGCTGTTGATTGAAATGGACTATTTTTTATATAGAAGGTTTATACCTAGACTGTTCGAGGAAGAAATTATTTCTATAAAAAATTGTTTTATATTTAAGGTATGTTGCAAGGAAAACGAGACTGGCGGATTTTTTTATATTTAATCTGCTGTTGACCGGAATTAAACTGTATTTGGTATATAAGAGTTGTCCTTTGGAAAACGAGACTTCTCGAGAGGGAAAATGTTATTGACGGAATTTAATTATATTTTATATTCGATAATCAGCGAGATTGCTCGAGAAAAGTTATACTTTTTATAAAATTTATACAAAAAATCTGCTGTTAACAGGACATAGCTCAAATTTGTATTCTTATATTTTCATATATTTTTTTAAAATATTTTTAAAAGGTTTAAATAATTTTGAAATGCCTTTAAATATAATTTTCATTGGGAAAAAATAAAAAATTATAAATTGTCAGTCCCTTTTGCGAGAAAAAGGCAACATTTCCAGCTGAGGAAATTTCCTATGAAATCGTAGGCGTTAATTGATATGTTCAGCGCATGAATTTCCACTTGAATAATACAAGAATCCTGCATACATATTTAATAGGCCATCCATCAAAGTATTTATTAATTTATTTCTCATATACACATACGAGTATGTACAAATGAATTTATATACTATATGTATGTACCGAAGTGCTGTATTATGCCACTCAAAAACATAACTCAAGAGTATGTCCGCATTATACTACTAGAATTTACTGCAAGGACATGCCAGTTGACCTTTTACTCGACATATTTTACTTTCGTGTGTACAAATTTTTTATAAAAAGATATAATTTTATTTTAATTTTTTTTTTATATAATTTTTTTTTTAAATATTTTTTATTTAAATTTTTTTTTTTATCTTTTCTTTTATTTTTCTGCATGCGATTTGAAGCGCTGGTGATTATTTATTTTATCGCTTGCTGAAATATTTCATATGTTAAATTATTATTATAGTTTATGACTTTTGGTCATGCAATTGAACGTCGGATAACTATTGCAGTACTGTATTTTATACATAAATCTGCTAAAGATAAGTACTGGCATTTTCACTCATAATTTTTTTTTTTTAGTTTAAAGGTCAAGTGAAAGGTAATTTGGTCGAAAATTCTTTGAAGACATAGGAAGCGAGCCAAATATATTTATAGTTTACTTATTAGTCCTTGTGAAGAAATACCTTAAAGCTTCTTCAGGTATTTAGTGTTCTCTCTTCTCAAGAAATGTTGCCCTTTCTTATTTTCTTCAGCACTTTTATAAGAGTCTGTGGAGAGCTATGAAAAAATTTATTCATAACGGAGCTAAAAGCATTTTCCGTTTTTTAAGGACAACAAGTAATGAATATAAAATATATCATTTGAAGATAGCAAAATTTTTCCGAGAAACACAAATGGACTGCAAGTTATGAGCTTGGAAACTGTAAAAAAGTATGTCAAAGTAGAAAAATCCCTCCAAAATGTAAAAAGATGCTATTTTAATAATTAAATCAACTCTGAAAAGCAACTTCGTCTTTTAGTCCATATACAAACTCGATTCTCAGACATATTTTATGCGGGAAAAACAAGAGAAAAGCGAGAGAATGTAACCCTGATTGGTTGGTTTATTGGTTTTTTGGTTAGCCTATAGGACAGCCCTCAACGGTGACACTGAGATGCTCAGAGTGCTTCCAGGCTTAAGCCATTCATTAGAATTTATAAACCATCGGCTGGCTCATATCTAATCGACTCCGTCTTGAGTAATTGCTGTAGTTTTGAAGTCTTAATTGGCTAAAGGCTGTCATTAGTCGGGTATCGTTTTTTACACTCCTTCGTCTTCTGCTCTGCATGGTTTGCTGATCCAATTTTGCATTATTTTTGATGCTTTATAATGAGGTGTAGCTTGAAGGGGGGTAGATATCAAGACACCTACAATCGTACAAAACTCACTTGGCTAGTAATAGTTCGGTCTGCCTACAATCCACATTGTGGTAGAGTAATTTAGTTCCAAACCCTACTCTAAAAGTGCTACAGAGTCTTAAAGGTTCTTCTAGATTGCACTGTACATTTGAAGCCACTGAGAAATCGGAGGCAGTTGCTTCTTCACACATTGGAAAGCTGTACAGCGATATAAAACAGGAATCTGTTCTCTGTGAGGAGTTTTTTTGAGAATACTTCCAGAATCAGTTCTTCTGACTGACGGCAATTTATAAATGAAACGAAAGCTGAGCAAAAAATGGAGAACCCAAATTCATTCATCTCGTCTAGTACAAGAATTTGCGCTTAATAGTTCCTGTTGGTTGCGCCTCCAGCTCAAATCCGCATAAGCAAAGTTTGTCAATGTCGTGGCGCGTCACATAACGAGGCTTGAATCAAAACGAGAGGGGTATTATATGAGTGGGTTTCACTGCGTGAGGAGGTTAGTATCTTGCCAGCTCTCATTGCATTCAGAGTCCGTACTGGATATGTAGGAGTTGAGTATACTACAGTATCCAGACCAAAAATGTGCCAGTCTTACTTGGATCTTGTCAGGCAGCTTGTTAACTCCATTCACGATAAGATTGTTAATAAACGTGTTGAGGGACCCCTGCGAATGGTTTTGAGGGCCTTTCGGTAGCTTGATCTCTTTGCCGATTCTTTGAGATACTGCTAAATGGAGTCTGTTAAGCCAAGTAATTTCTTTATGATATGTCTTCGAAGTGGTTTAGCCTTCAGAAAGTCTGAAGCCTTAGCAGATACTACTTTGCATAGTAGTTTCGCTGTCTAAATGATGCAAAGGTGATATCACGAGACTTCCAGTTATGCTCCTCAGAGAGATGTTCTGATAGGATGATAGCTTCTTTGTCAGTGTCTTGCCCACTATTTATGTCCAGCCGGCCGATTGCTTTGCTATGAGTTTATCAAATAAACTCAGGGTGCTGTGGTTTTTTCTAGGCCGTCTCCAAACTGCTGGTAGCTATTTATGTAAAGTTTTTATTTTCTGTAAAATATACTTTCGCAGGGGTTGCCATTCTGTGCCGAAAGGCGATTGTAATTGAAAAGTATTTTCTTTTTCATTTTATTTTCTGAAATTTTCATGTTGGTTCAGCTAGTGTTTGAACCTACATTCTCTGCATAGTTGTACGTTCTAGTAGCCATTCTGTTGTTATGATCGCTGGTTAAGTTTGCTTTGATCTTGATGCTAGATGACAACTTTGGATGGAACTTAGTTGTAGGCATGCACTTAGATATACCAAGAAGAAACTAAATTCGACTTAGCTTCCGGTCTAAGAGCCCTTCAGGGGAGTAAAGTTGTATCTTCCACTCTAACTGTAGATGACACTGACATTGCATGCAAATTATGTGCAACGTTTTGATTTAACCAAATTTCACTTTTTTCACTTTGAATTGCCTAGAAATTCACGGAAATATTTTTTGTTCTTTAATCCCCCCTCATGCCTTCCTATTGCATATTCCCATTGTTTTCCGCTTGCAGTAGTAGAACTCAGGCCGCTGACGAACACAACACGCTTGACCTTTGTGTAATTGTCTGCAGTGCCATGGAAGAGAATGAAATTAAATATTAAAAAATGAAAAAAAAGTTAAAAGTGAAAAGAAAGTGAGTCTCTCTTTTGTGAAAATTGCACGCAAACACTAAATGAAAAGTGAAGAAGTGAAGTGGCATGCGGTACCGTAAGCTACTACAAGCACATAAATAGTACCACACAACAACGTGGTTCATTTAAGCAAACGGGCATTGGGACTGTCGACGAGTTTTCAGTGGCCAGTGCCTTACGCGACTATAATAACATAGTAGTGGTGAAGTAGTAGCAGGAAAGTAGGAAAGTCGGAAAGTAGTGTAGTAAAGTATAAAGTAGAAGTGCATGAAGCCAGCAAGCGGCCAACGCACGTCCTTTTGGTGCAGAATACACCTTCAGTGCATAATTAAATGTGGTCTCGCTGCTGCCACCGCTATTGTTGCTGCATGTAGCATTGTATTTAATTGTGGTCCCCTGTGTCTGACACAACAACCCCTTTCAACGTTTGTTTTCCATGTCTGCGCCAATTGCATTTATTTTATGTATTTATTTTGTTGTTTCTTTTTTTCTTTTTAATTTTTTCTTTTTTTCATTTAACTTCATTTATTTTGCTGTTTTCACTTTCGCCACAATTCTTTGCTCTGAGGTTGAGCAAGTGAAAAGCGCTCATGGTGTCAAGTGACCAAGTGGTCGCAGTTTTTGGTTTTATTTTTGCACTCTCCTCCTTTGTAGTTTTGGTAGTCAACGCTTGATTTTCTAATTTAATTTCATGTTTCAAATACTCGTGAAACTCAATTTTGTTTTAATATATATTATTTTGTTCAAGGGTATTAGTTTGGGTGTGTGTGTATGTGTGTGTATATGTGTGTGTGTATGCTTGTTCTACTTTTCGTTCATGATTTACTGTGGTAAATTGTTGTCATAAAAATACTGAAATCATGAACCAGTAATTTATTTAGTAGAGTGACCAACCAACGAAAACGTAACCCGCAGGGGTGAGTTTGAATTGGTAATGGTATATGTTTATATTTCTACTCATACAAATACTTATGTAGCATCATTATATTTATATGTAGTAGTGCCCCAAGTCATCTATGGATTTAATATATCCTTGCATGCATTTTGTCATAGCAATTTTGGTAGAGTTCGCGTGTATTCTATGCTGAACTGGATGGAAATTGCTTCTTTCTCCAGTGTGTTCGTGCTGAAAATTGAGAAGTTATAAGCTTACGAAATTTCCGAAAAATAAATTGCAATAATTTCAGTGTTTTTATTATTTTGAGGCGTATGAAGTATAAGAACAGTTATTATGGGCATTTACCTAAATATATATGCCTTGACCCATGCAACTTTCAATCTGTTTATTGCCATTGAGAATGATTGTATGGGCTTACCAGCTAAAAAATTATTTGAAAGCGCAAAAGAGAATCTGAATATATATGCTTATGAGTATGTACAATTTATACAAAAAATAAAGTCATTAATAATTATAATCATGGTCATCTCTCGGCAAGATATGGCAATCCGACAGAGTGTTCTACAGACATGAAATAAAATGGTCTTACGAAATCCCTTCGCCATTTTTAGGCCGCCCATAATAAGCCAAAAATTCCTTCATTCTGTTGGAAAGACATCGATATGTACACCACATTTTGGAGGAGAATCTCGGCTAAAACATGCTTAAGGCATTACAAAGCGCTAAGTAGTTTGAATGTTTACGAAACATATTATTTTTTTTTGAATAGATCGATCTCATTTCCCTGATGTAAAAGTGTTTCCAATACCAGTTTCGACAGAGAGCTACCACTGAAGCCAATTATCTCATCTAAATTGATATTTGGATTGCATCGAACACAGGCTCTTTTATTTATATCAGATGCCTACATTATAAACTCTTAAAGTTTCAGGTCTCTACGTTTAGTACTTTAGGTTGCTGGTTGATCCACCTTACATATATATGTACAGATATATAAATATTTTAAATAAAAAATAAAATTAAATTTCCTATTGCGGTCATCCATCAGCAGGGTATGTCAATCCATCTGAGAGTATTTCGGACATGAAATAAAAGCTCCTCGTAGAAAAATTATAAGCCGTTCGTGGGCGGCTTAGTATAAACTGTAGGTCCCTCCATTTGTTGGAAAAACATCAAGACGCGAAACCACGAATTAGAGGAGGAGCTCGACTTAAAATCGCTTTTAGGCTAATAAAGTGGCTATTATATATGTATAACAATGATACTCTGATGATGTTAGGTCGGAGCTGTATGCTGAATGTGATGGCAATAATTTCTAATTAGGTTAGGTTATGTAGAAAATCCGATGGACTCCAGCAGCTTTTTTAGGTTTGGTGTAAGGCAAATCGGAGTATCCTGCTTTCTTGATCTTTAAACCACCCATTTTCGTTTGCCATGTTTTTTGGCTGATAACATGCACAGGGCTTCTAGCGTTTTTGGTTTCACGGAATTGAGCCGATTTGAACCTTTGCTGTTTCTCCATTCCCCATTTTCCTTTAATTTTTTTTGTTGATAGCTGACAAAATCAATTATGATAGAAAGCCATTGGTATGATAGAAATAACTAATCCGAAACTAGGCGCTTTAGGTATTAAAGCCAAGGAATATCGAGTGCTATCTCATTGATGCCCAGACTGTTGGGACTGCATATAGTGAAGGCTTTTGAAGGCTATGAATCGACGCCAAGGTCAAATAATCATATCAACGAAGTTATGTTCCGCCTTTGGTTTAGCCTGAAGGGAACTCCGTATTACAATATAAGTTTCGGAAAAGAGCCACGAAGTCATATAAGCGAATAATTGCAGATTCAAAGCCGCAATGTATTAATGAAGCCATACAGGGCATTGATCTTTCATCTCGGCAATATTCGGCAGCACGTTAGAGCAAACTGATCAAAACTTATCTCGGTAGACCCATATGGCAAGCTTTAGCTGACCTCATTTACTGCCCATACTTTGTACTATAAGAGTGACAAACTATCCGCTCAATGAAAACTTCATTAAAGTGATTTTTAGTCGAACTCTAGTCCTAACGATTTGACCCTTTACGCTAATCTGACGCCTCTGAATGACTGTTCAATTTAAAAAAAAAAAAAAAAATAAAAATAAAAAAAAATAAACAAAAAATAATAAAAAATATATATATATATATATATATGAATTCTCTTTACAGTTATATAACTTCTTCAATGCCCTACTCACTCACATTCCCGAAGCAGCTGCTGCCCATCGTCCATCAGTACAGAGGGACTCAGAGATCTCAATAGGTTAGTGTCATGATTTTTAATATGAGTAAACAAATAATAATTAATATTATTATTCATTAATTTGTAATCAATTATTAAAATAAACAATTAAGTACATACATATAAATATATTAATAAAATAAAATGCACAAGTAAAACATGCTACTATAAGACATTTTGAATAACCTCATCATATTTTACTTCAATTTATAAAAGTAAATTTCATTGAAATATATATTAAGCCATACTAAGTTAGCAACTACTCACATACAAACATATTTATATGCTCCCTAAACATTTCATAATATGTATCGCTAATATTTGTCATATATTTGTCTCTCTATCTCTCTCTCGCGCACTCGCATACCGTATCCTTCTCATTTCCCACATCTCCGCTCCTGGTATCATCTTTGTGTATGTATGTATGTATATATATATGTGTAACGCTTGCTGAATTCGCTTGCGACAAATTTAATGTTACACAAATCATAAAAAAAAAAATGCAAAAAAACTACAGCTTCAGATGTTTATTTTGATGAGTCAGATTTCAATGAGGATGGTGAATATCGTTCGGATAAGAATTATGATGGACCACATTTGAAATTTCCGTTAATCAAAAAAGACGTTGTTACGCTGATTGATGTGTTTCGCAAGAAAAAGGTGAGCACTAGTATTTGTTAAATATTTCCACTTACTATGCTGTAGGGAATTTGACTCTTTCTCTCACTTTCTCTCTCTCTGCAAGAGAAATTTTCTGCATTCCATTTGCTTATAATTTTTAAATATCTAATTCTTTTTTAATTTTATCTTCTGCTAAACAGTCTGATCGTTTGCTCGCCAAATATGTGGGCGGTATTTTGAAAGAGGCTGCATTTAAATTGAAACGTTTACCAAATCTCAATCAAGCCTCAACGGCGATATCCAAGCAGATAACAGTTATCGGAGATTTACATGGAAAATTGGATGACCTCTTGGTGATTTTCTACAAGGTGTGTGAAAATATTAAAGTAATATTAAATTAAGTATTAAAAGAACTGGAGGGAATCAAAGAAAACTGAAAATAATAATAATCGAACAAAAAAGGAGGTTTAAGAACAAAATTTAATAATTTAAAAAGAAACTAAAAAACGGGTATACATTTAAGTCTAAAATTACATTAAATATGTTAAAAATTAATAAACTAAAAAATAAATACTTGTGTGGAAATATAAAGGAAGTAAGGAATATTTATGAAATTATTTAATGTTATTGAATTTAATTTAACTCGAAATAATTTTATTTGTCATTCATATTTTAAATACTTTTATTTAACTTAGAAGATTTTAAATCAATTTAATTTTAAATAAATTAGTTTAAATCTTTTATTAGAAAATTTTTTTTTGATTTTAATAAAATTTTACAAATTTTAATTTAAGTTATCTAAAGTTAAATTAAATTATTTTAAGTTATTTAACTTTATTTAAGTGAGATGTATTTATAAAAATCAGTTTGATTTCTTTTATAATTTTTGATTTTTTGATTTTTTTTATAATTTTTCTAATTTGATTTTTTTTTTATTTAGTCAAATTATTTTAATTTTATTATTTTTTTTATATTCTAACTTATTTAAAGGAGATTAATTTGATATTATTTAATTTAATATAAAACACATTAGATTTATTTATTATCATACAATTTAATTTTATTTAATTTTAATAAGAAAGAATGTATATTAATTTAAGGCAAAATGTTTTAACTAATTTCCAATAAGATAATTTAAAATTGATTTATTTTAATTGAATAAAGCTCAAATTAATTTTTTATTAATTTTCGCAAATTAGTTTTTATGATTCAGTTGCTTTTAAATTAATTTAATTTGTTTACTAGTAATGTATTTCATTTAATTTAATTTTATTTGAAATAACTTGCTCTTTATTTCAATTTAATTTAATTTACTATGAATATATTTGTTCTTGTATTTGATTTTAATTTATTTTCACAGAACATTCTTTAACAAAATGCATTTCAAATTACTTTTATGTAGTTTATTTTAATTGAATTTAATTTAAAGCAAATTTATTTTATTTATTCTAATTTAACTTAATTTAAATTTTAAATTAATTTTTTTATATGAATCAATATTACATTTTTTTAAATTTTATTTCCTTTAATCTAATTTTGTTTATTTAATTTTAAGTTTATTTAAACTTAAAAACTTTTAATATGGTTTGTTTTATGAGTTAGTAAAATAAAATACTTAAAAATTAAAAAAAAAAAATGTTTTTTTTTTAACTAATTTTTCTCTCCCCAGAATGGTCTTCCTTCTGTCGAAAATCCTTACATCTTCAATGGTGACTTCGTGGATCGCGGCAAAAAGGGCTTGGAGGTCTTTCTGCTGCTACTCGCCTGCTTTCTGGCCTTTCCCGGTGCTGTGCATTTAAATCGTGGCAATCATGAGGATTCTGTAATGAATGCGCGTTATGGTTTCATACGTGAAGTGCAGCAGAAATATCGTGTAAGTTAATGGGAGTTGTTAAGGTTTCGTTATTCGAAAAGACAAAAGCGATTCAACATCCTGGTTGATAATTGTTTGTTTTTTTATCTTTTCTGTCATTAAAATTTTAATTTGTCAATTATTTTTATTTAATTTTTAAAAATTTTTATTCTAATTTTATTTGTTATTTTTATGCTAATTTTTATTTTTATATTAATTTATTTTCATATTAATATAATATTTTTTATTTCAATATCAATTAAATTTTGACTTTTTTTCCGTAATTTTCCATTTTAAATCATTTTATTTATTTGAATTTTTAATGTATTCACTATGTAAATTTTCACACACACACGCGTATGCACGCAGCGCAATTCCGAAAAATTAATGTTAATGATTGAAGAAGTTTACCGCTGGCTGCCTCTGGGCTCCATCGTTAACAATCGTGTATTGATTGTACATGGCGGCATATCGAACACAACGGACCTGGATATGATCAGGAGTATAGACCGTGGCAAGGTGAGTGAAAAAAATAAATGTAATATAAATAAAAAAGGACAAAAATAAAACAAATGTTTAAAAAGCAAACGGCAAGTGTTGATAATAACAAGCAAAAAGAATAAATTTAAGGTTAAAAAACGAGTAACAGCGATTAAGTACCTTTGAGACTCCCCTGCAGAGTTTCGTATGTAAAAAGTACAAAAAATTTTAAAAGCAAAAAAACAAATGTCAGACTCATTAAACAAATTTTATGTTAATGAATTCCCTTGTGTCTGACTCGCTCTCGATTTTTATCAGTTAACAATTTTGTTTATATTTTTTTGTTACTCTGCTCTCGTTAAATGCTTACCTTGCACAGTGTTAACTTAACTGTATTTATTACTCCCTGTGCGCTACTACTGTCAGTGCCATGCTGCTGTCCTGCAGTGGGTTTGTCTCTTTTTTATTTCTTGTGTTTTGTGATTAAAGCTTTCCCCGATTAATGCTGCCACTACGCATTTCATTGGCATCCACCTGTCAGCCAGCTGCGACAGCAGCTTAATGAACTCAGTGGTGGCATTGTCATGTCAATTACACCAACTGACTTCAATTAACATATAAAGAGGGAGCCAGGGGGAGAGAAAAAGAGACAGGGCATTTACAATATAGTATAAAAAGTTGACAATGCGTTGAAAGTAGCAGCGCAAATGAATTGTTGTTAATTTTAAAGTGTCGTAATTGATGCTCTCCTGATGCGCGGGGTGGCAGTCGGAGGCAAGTAAATGCAGAGAAAATATATTTTAATAGTGAGCTGATTAACATGTGAGTTAATATGTCGTACTACTCGTTATCAGATATACGTACATGCATATGTAGGTATGATTAAGTGCTTTTCGCATGCTTACATTCAAGGTTCGCCACTGCGTATGAGTAATAATTTCATTTGAGGCCAAAAGGCGCGCTTATTTTTCACTCTTGCAATACTTCGGTGCATAACTGCGGATATATACCTCGATTTTTGACATGTCAACTACATATGTGTGCGTTGAAAAATGTTGAATATTATTTTACTTTTAAATGCATTGTGCTTTATTACTCATTATTCTGCCATTAAGTATTATACACAAGTGTTTTCTACCATTTTAATGAGACACAATTGGTTGTGATATGAATAAAAAGGAAATAGAATTTACTTTGGGAGAGGTGAGAAAATGTAAAAATAGGTTTTCAAAACTAAATATCAAAGTGCTATCGAATTGATTGAGGGTGTTTAGGCTAACAATTTTAAGTATTTGATTCCTCCGCCTATTTTTGGGATTTAGTTTATTGCTACCTAACTCTTTGTATACAAACGTACAAGCAAATGCCCATAAGCGTGATTCCCAAATGAACAGTAAGTTAAAATGTCTTTAAATGCTGAGGTTAGCGTTTGGCTGTATATTTGATAGCTACCATGACTACATGCTGAGATGCTTGTCCCCACCAGGAATGGCTCTCTCTCTCATTCAACATTTATTGTAAGAGCCACAGGTTCATTCCAAGTGTCCCAGTGATTACCAAGTGCCAATAATATGTGATTTGCGCAGCAGAGCTCACAACCCGAGCTCCAAAAAAAATCTCCATCGTCATTTTGCTTTACCTCCTACACTCTCAAAATTTCTTTTATTTACGATCTAATAGTTCTTTCGATAAGTCTCTCAGCTTTTTTTTGCCTAATACTTAAGAGATAGAGATGAACGAAACGTCTGAGAGTATGTGACTAGATGTTCTAAGAAACTTTATGATATCTCTTTAGTTTGATAAACTCAAATTATTGCACTGAGAGTAACACACAAATAATGGCGAAAAATATTTTACGATTAAAGAGCAGAGTGTACTACAGAGTACAGAGTTAGCTTTTCCTTATATTATATGTATACATTTTCCAACATCACTTCCTCATAAACTTCCAATCGGTTGTACAAATGCACAGTTATGTATGAACATGCCTTTGTGCGAGTGCATAACAACTACTGCCGCTCTTTACCACTTTATAATGGTAACCCATACCACATTTTATCCACGTATTGCATTTCATGCATTTGTCGCATTTCCGGCACTTACCGTTAAATTGAATAAATTGAAGAAAAACAAAAAACGCTTAACTAGCTCTGGCATGCAAACATTTAATAAGGAAATAAAATGAGCAAATAAACTTAGCTACACTGACTTAAATGCTAACAATGTAATGTTGTACAAACACGCCAACGGATAAGAAGAGTGCATATCTGTAATTGAGAAAAAAAGCTAACAAGTCGAATGGGTGGCAATTACATGCCGAGCGGTACAATGTGGCAGGTGGCAAGTGTAATGTTGCCCTTGTGCAGCTATATTACTTAAATAATTGTATGTGCGAGTATGTGTGTATGGGATTGAGGTCGTCGCTTCGTTTTGCTGGGCGTTGTGCAAGCGAAAGCAATCAGAAACTCATTTAAAATGCATTGGAAAGAGTTAAACACTCTTTACCGCTCCTGCTCGTTATTGCTCTCCTACAATGGTTAAAAAGTGTTATTGTGATTGCTGTGGCCATTGCAGTTCAAGTAGGAGAAGTTTTTTAACTGCTGACCGGAAAATTTGTAAAGTAAAAACAAAACTAATAAAAGGAAAGAAAAAAATGGTAAAATAAAACAATTGTAATCAAATAAAAAAAAAATTAAACATATAAAATAAAATGAAATGAAATAAGAAAAATAAAATAAAATAAAATAAAGTAAAATAAAAAAAATAGAAACATATAAAATTAAATAATATAAATTATAATCACATAAAATCAAATAAAAAAAATTAAATAAATATAAAAAAATAAAATAAAATAAAATAAAATAAAATAAAATAAAATAAAATAAAATAAAATAAAATAAAATAAAATAAAATAAAATAAAATAAAAAAATTGAAATAAAGTAAAATAAAATATAATATAGTAAAATAACATAAATTAACACAAAGTAAGATAAAATAATATAAAGTACAATGGAATACAATAAAGAAAATAAAATAATAAAAAATAAAATAAAATTAAATAAAGATAAAAAATATAATAACATACAAAAATGGAACAAGAAACTAAAATAAAAATGTTAAAATGAAGCAAAATAAAACAATCTACAATAAAACAAAGGGAAATAAAACAAAATAAAAAAGTTAAATAAACAAAACTCTGCTTACTTTGAGTAATAATTAAAAAGAAAAAATAATTCTCAATCCTTTTCTCCTTTCTACTAGTTTTTAAGCAGATATCGTAATTAATACCTTCACACCTCGTAAACTTTTCGACAATAACAAACTTTCATTACCTTCAGACTAATTAATTTGTCTATTCTACTAACTTTTGATTACATTATTTAACTAGTAATTTTCTTTTCAACCATATTCGCCACCGCCTAACACTACGTTGGCTGTCACCTTCACCACCTTCGTCTCGTACCACATCCGCTTCCGATATGCTTCCGGTGGGAACGTGCAAACTACACTTCAATATTCCATCATTGGTTCCTGGTTGGGGCTCGCGTTGTGCTTCTGCTTGCATGTTTTTGCAAGTACAGTATGTCTCAATCTTGCGACCACCTATTGAGATGGCTGGGGAGGATGGCATCGATAAGACCGAATGGAAACAGGTGAGTGAAAATTTATTTTGATTAATAATTAACAATTACATTTTGATGGTAGGGGAGTAAAGTGGCAAGAAAAGAAAGGTGGAGGTAAATTTAATGAGACTGAGTTATTTAAAATTGTGTACATATGAAGAAAATCGTCTGTTGTTATGTATATTGTAAGAACCCATACTGGACGCTCATAATGCCGTGTATAAAATATTTCATTTAAAGATACCGAAAATTGAAAATGTGCAAGACGTAATCTTACTGTGAAATTTATTCTCAAATAAGCCAATTTAATTTTTTTTATTTTTACGATGGATTAAAGTGGTTCTCAATAGGTTGAATACCTGTGGAGAGCTTCAGCGTAAAAGCACAAATTCAATTGTGATATCTGGCGGTACTGAAAGACAACTACAGTAATCTATAATGGCCTTAAAGATTGCAACCTTTTTGGTTTGCGATTGATGATTGAAAATTTGCAAAAACTAATAACTTTCATTAACCGCCACAGCTTCTTCTGATGGATATTTCTATAATATCTTTTCCACGAGATTTATTATATTTAATATGAAGGTTCTTTTAGACAAGACATCAAAAATTGTATTGTAAGGCTAGATTAAGATGAAATTAGAGAGACCGAATAATGGTTTTTTTTTAGGAAATATATCATGCGATGGGAAAGAGTTTTTATTTTGAGTGTAACCGCTCACCAATTTCACTGCAGTGGTTAATTTTTTAGTGCCAAGCTGCTGCCAATTCTGGGTAAAACATTTTTTGTGCTAGCTGAGGCTGAGCCGGAAAATAGGAGTAAATAATACTTGCAAAATTAAAAAAAAAATAAATAAATTATTCTCAAGGGTATATATTGCAGCCTTACTCCAGCAAAATTAATTTAATTCCCTTTCTGTCCCCTCCGACCAGCATCCCACCCTTCTTCTTTCATACTAAATGAGTAATGTAATAAAAAAGCTACTGCCATTAGTTTAAAAGATCTTAAATTGTTGTTATATGCACGTACGTATGTGTTGCTGTAAAGTTTGATTGTATTACCCCATTATGCATACGTGCCGCAGCGTTGCGACTCACTTTCTTCAACAGCACAGAATAAGTGCGTACAAAATTTCACGTTTCCTTCCTTAAAGGACTGCAGTGAGTGCAATGCACATAGAACACATAAAAGAATGAGGTGAAGCATAAGTTGGTGTGCGGCTATAGCCCTTCTTGCATTTCACATTACACGGTTATATGCGACATTTTTGCACCGAACACCGCTCGCCATAACTTTGCTGGTGCAACCTTCTGCCACAAGAAATTAGTCACGATTTGGGTTAATGCCAGTCAATGCTGCGCGTGAGCGGAACGTGCTACTGGTGTAAGAGGCGTGTGTGTGTGTTTGATAGCTCGACTGCAAACAAGTTTCAGCCACTGCATTCGCTGCCACTTAGTCATTTCAAGCGTTGGGCATATTTTTGGACTCATTGCTTTCTCAATAGCTTAACCGATTTTGGTGGGATTTCGTCAAACCTCTCAGATTTTTTTTTTGTGGAATCAAAGCCTGAGTAGCAAATATTAAATAGAATTTCAAATCTGTCTCCCCTGCAACACAATGCGTGCCGTGTTGAATGTCCATCAGGGGTAATTCTCGACAATTCTCCGAAAGGAAACCATAGATGATGATCTTGTCGCTGATTTCCTGGTTACACAAAATTTGAATAGGAAACATTTCTTAAGCTTGCTGACTAAGTCAATTAGTTCGGATAGCGATTGCACACATGAAGACCACTAAAGGGGCAGCAGTCAATGGATAATCGGTGAGCTATTCAAGGATGCCAAGAAACAGTCATAAACGTGTTGTCGACTGGAACCCAAGTCTGCTCTCCGCAGTCCGTTTTTAGGAAGACTCTTATCATTTGCGCCAATTATCTTGGAATAAACCTCCTCAACATCGAATAGAAGTCCTTTTGCGCACACTGAGTGAAAGATAAAAAGCCCAACCATCGGCTGGATATTCACTATTCTTTACTCACGAGAAACAAACCACAGTGTGCTAACTGTTAAATATAAATTTAATTTCACCGTAAAACTTAGGCATCTCTGCAAACTGAAAACTGAACAACACCAACAGCTCTATCATAATTGAAAAATTAATCTAATAAAATTTATTAAAATGAAATAAAACAAAATAAAATAAAATAAAATAAAATAAAATAAAATAAAATAAAATAAAATAAAATAAAATAAAATAAAATAAAATAAAATAAAATAAAATAAAATAAAATAAAATAAAATAAAATAAAATAAAATAAAATAAAATTAAATTAAATAATATAAAGTAAAGAACAATAAAAAAAATTTAAAATAAAATAAATATCATAATTATAAAAAAAATTAATTGGAAACAAATAAAAAGTAATATAAATTTAAACAAATTTCAAAAAGTTAATACAAAAAGAAAAGAGTAAATAAAATAAAAAATATTTGAGACAATAAAAAAATAATGCATATTCCATAAACTAGCTAGTTGTTATTGGGCCATCAGCTAACATTTGAGATGAACTCACAAGCTAAGATATCTTTAATTTCAGTGATAGTCAGGCTGCAAAGAGGTCGCTTGGCTCGCAAAATAAATTAAAGATTTCTGTTGACTGTCATCGGCTTGTACAGAAGATGACTAAACAGAACAAATTATCTCTCGCTTGAGTTCCTGGCCACAGAGATAAACTTGGCCGGCAATATTTGGCTAATTCTACGCTTTACCATATAAAACTGTGACTGTAATTATTAATTCAACTTTTAACGTATTTTTTTTGATATTCTCTGTTAATTTTACTGCATAATTTAATTTGATTGGTTTCAAAAAAGAGTTCATATCTCAAAAAAACTCTTTTTATCTACACAAAAAAATTCTCCTTGGAATTCACTTGACGACCACTTAACCTTATTTCTACTGTCTTACATATATACATGCATACGAACGTATATATACGATGCATATATATGAGATGCATATGTTTAGCCATATTGCCACTGTGCCACAAGCAAACAACTGTACGCGTGCCGCATTGCGAGCAGGTAATTTATAAGCAAGACGCATGCATTTTCGCTCATAAAGCTTTATGGTTGCACGTGGTGGAAAAAAGACAGAAGGCGACAGACACAATACAAAATACCTCGCACATCTGTATGTACAAACAGAGCGAGCGCACACCTGCTGCAAATAAGTAAGCAATATTAATAAAATCAACAGCATAGCGACTTGCAGCGCAAGCAAATGCAGCGAGACCTCAGGCTGCATGCAGATGCAAATGAAATTTATATGCATACATATACACGTATATATACCAGGCTTAGTACAGAGCGATTTTTTCTACCACAAATATATGCATGAATTTGCCTTTAGCTTTTAAAGCGAGAAGAAGTAAAAAAAATATAAATCAAAAAGGACTTCGGGTCAGCTGCTGTAATTTCGTTTTGTTGAAATACAGTTGAATTTTAATTGAATATTATTATTGCTTTTGTTGATGTACAATGTGCTAGTCAGAACAACAACAATAACACTTTAAATTCCTACGAATTAAATATTTTTGAAATTCACTGCAGTGCATTGTATTTGCCCTAAGCGACATTTGTTCGGAACAACAACGACGACAATTCCAATGTGACAAAACATCAGTTGAATGTAGAGAAGAAGAAGAAAAAACATTTATACAAATTGGTTATGCAAATTGAATTCGTTGCATATAAATGTATGCAAATTAATTATTATCCTGCAGGTCAGTGGCAGTGGTTCATGGCAATGCTGTGCAATAGGAGTACATATATATGAATATATTTATGTATATGTAATAAATGACAGGTGTGTTTGATTGATTGTTTGATGCAGGCTATGTATGTATATGTGTTAATGTATATGTATATATGTATATATTACACTGATTGCAGTTGAATATATTATGCGGTCATTCGTTTTGCCTTTAACGAGTTTGCTTATTGTGCTGGTGTGTGCTGCTTCTGATGGTGCTACACGGCGTATGAATAATGTGTGTTTTCATTTGACGTTGACAATGATTGAAGCGGTGCGGATTTTCGAGGCAGCATGAGAGTGATTTGGTAACTTGATAAGTGTACTTTGGTTTATTGAGAATAATCATTTGGTAAAAACCCTGGGGTACCTAAATACTTGAATCAATTAACTGGGTGAGGAAGTAAATAAAATGCATAAATAAGAATAAACAATAACTTTTTTTTAAATAAATATCTCTAATTTTTTCTCCTTATTTATGCTTCGTACCGTGTTCTCGATTTTCTATATTGCAGACCTGCAAGCATATTCTTTCTTTGGACATTATGATCAGTGGGCTTCATTATGCAATAAATAGAATCGATCCGGACTTGTTTGATATTATTGAATGTGCACATAAAAATTGAATATTATTCTTATTTGATGGCTCCATCTGCATCCAATTGAATACTCTGATGAATTTTTTGAACTCTCTAATAGGTCGTTCACTTTTGTTGTTGCCCCGCGGTAAAGCTAGACATAAATACGACTCCAGTAATCCAAAGTGGCCCCCTGCTTATATCAAAGGGCTCTTATCATATTTATTTCCATGTCCGAAGGCTGTGGTATCTTAGTAGGGTGGTATCTTTAAAAAGAGCATCTTCATTAGAGTAGAAAGATTTCCTTAATCCTATTACCAAGCTTCGAATCATTAACGGTCCCAGTCGGAATGTCAAAAGAAAGTTGCTTTCTTAATTTCCATGAGCGGAAAACGAAGCATACTATATGGTCTGATGTAACTATCTACAACTGCTAGTACACACAGTATGTGGACATAAACCTGATGTAAAATTTTCCAACGACCTCTTGAAAAGAAAATGGCAAAGCTAGAAACGGCAAAGTGTGTTGTGTAAGTACAAATGAACTGCTTTAAGGCGTGAAGCTAAAATCTCTTATTAAATAAAATCCGTCATTCTTTAATGAAAACCGTTTTCTATGGTCCCTTATAGGTCAAAAA